ACCAGCCTCACCCTGCAACCTTTGGTCTGAGCCATCTACTGCTTTCAAAATCACTATCCACCCGTTTTCAACCTCGGGCCTGGATGACAGCAGACAGGAGAAGGGGAGCTGCTGATTGCTAAGCAAGCATCACAGTAACAAGGACAAGTTTAGGGGGCTGTGCCTCTGTGCCCACCCCACAACCCACAAAGATGGAATGAATTTCTGCTTCTTCCTGCAGACTTTGAGTTCAAGGCAGAAGATCAAAATAGCAGAGCTGCACATGCTTTGCCCAGATGACATATGGATACCTGTGAGTGTACTCCCAGCCCAGCAAAGGATCTATAAATACAAGAAGTACAAGGCATCAACATGGGTAGAGAGATAGATACCTATTAAAGTCACAGGAGCAAGCAGTTGAAAACCAGCCCTCTTTCGTGCTATGAGTTTATTCAGCACCCAGGACTTACAGGTCTTTAATCTCTTAACACAGCACCTGTAAGAGAGCTTACTTGGATAGAGTATTTCTGGACCAGTCAGCTAACGATCAAGAGCAAAGAGTTAACATAGATAGGGACATTGGGAGAATTATGGTCAACCCAATTTGTATCTATCACATCCTAAAATATCAGCTCCTACTTAAGAGAAAAATCTTTGTTGGTCACCCTCGCACAGCACCCTCCTAACTGATACGTGTTTTTCTAGCAAACTTCTTAAACACCCTTGTCCTTGGACAACAGTGAAGACAAAAACTGTTGAGCTGCTAGATTTCTTCCAGTCTTTGGGGAAATCAAAGGAAAACAAACAACTTGGAAAAATCATCAGTTAAAATTTGGTATGCAAGTAAGATAGGTGACCTCCTCACTGTGGGTATTTATAAAGTGGCGATAATTATATTTCTCTCTTAGAACTGTTGTGAAGATTGAATGACACAGCTAATGTAAAGCACAAAGCATATTACCTCGAAAGAGCTCAAAAACCATGAGCTGTAATTATGCACGCATGTATATTTGTTATCTTTAAGACGTATTGCTTAGCCAGGAAGTACACCAACAAGATCACCCTTACCTCGGTAGGTAGACAGCTAGGTTTTCATCGAATCTTTGTTCCTTCATGCTATGAATTAGAACATTAGAGTGTGTAGTCACCAAAGGTCCCTTGGTGTTGCTTAGGCTCCCTGTTGACTGGAACCCTGATTTCATCCATCTGTCTGGGTCTTCAGCTCTCTCAAGGTCTCTGCTGCACCCTAGGTCCCCTCCCCTCTTCTATGGCTGATATTCAAAGGTCCACAATAAACAAACATTTTATTTGCTCCTAAATCTTATCGGAAGGCATCTTACCAACCTGAGGGAAACTACTCATCTGGCAGGGGCATTCTGACTGTGGAAAATTACTGATCCACTCCGAGCTATATAAAAATCCATTCGTAAAAATCCTAAGAAGAGCAAACACTTCCCCTGGCAAGTTCTCCAGCAGGGTCCTTGGCTGGGAGGAGCAGCCACCCTCTCTAGGCACCAACCAAAAGGCCGGTCCGGAGCGGTGACAAATCTGGAATCCTCTGGCAGACTCCAGGCCAGGGCCTACTGCACAAAGGGGGCCCTTCTTACTAGCTCAGCACTGAGTCTGAACGCACTGAGGCATTAGTTTTGGCTGTAAGGGAAAAGCCAATGTGGAAAATATAATCTGATGGACAGGATTTGAAATGAAAGACACAATACTGCCCAAGCTTCCAGGGCCTAAACCTTTACAGGGCAGAAGCATAAACCCTTTTTGGAAGTTGAGACCAGGACACAATGTGATACCTCAGCAGAAGCTCAAGAGTAGCAAGGGGTTTGAACATTGAAAGACTAACTCCAGTTTTCACACTGTGAATCACCAAAATCTAAATAAAGAGGAAAAGGTGTATCAGCCAGCATTTACCTTGCCGAGCCTGCACTGAAAAACTCTCCTGGTGCCTGCGGCACTCTCTCACAAAGATGAATAAGACAAGTCCTGGCCCTTGAGGAGTTTGTACCTGGTAGGGGAGGCTGGCAGGTAACTAAAATATAAGCCTTAGTACGAGAAGTGCCAAAAGCTGTCACAAGCAAGGAGCAGCAGGCGCAGATAGCTCTAATCTCCAGGGCTGCCATGAGCTTCCTCCCAGGAGCGGGGTCACCCCATCTGGGTCCTGGAAAGACAGCAGGACTTTGAGAGGAGGAGGGCTGTCCAGGCCGAGCGTAAACAGAGGCAGCTCAGAAAGGGAAGAACAGGGTGTGGCAAGGAACCGGGCTCAGCCTGGCCGGGGCAGCAGCTGAGCTGAGCGGGGGTGGGGGGCTGGGGATGGTCTGAACATCCAGGAAGACTGGCCTTGATTCCTTGGGCCTTTCAATCATTGCAGTTCTGCTTCTACAAGGAAAGGCTCTCCAATGGGTGTCAAGAATGAAACTGGAGTCAGGGAGAGAACTGAAATGTGTATCTTTGCATATGTATTTTTTTCTTTTTTGCCACTTGAAGAAATAATCACACATGCAAATTGACAATTGGCCAGTAATGTATCCAGCCAGCACTTATTTTTGAGCATATATTTACACTCCACAGCAGCAACTCTCCACTGTAGGGGATCCTTCCATCCCTGCTGGACACATTCCATTAGACTGAGAGGCCAAAGGTGGCACCTCTGTGTCCAAGGGCACCCTGACAACCCTATGGAGTTCACTCTCCTCCAGTCCAAGGAGGCTCACGCCCTTCGCTGTACCCAGCTCACTGAGTGTGAAGTAGAGGGAGGTCTTTGATGTGATGAAAAAAGGTGATGTGATGAAGGTAATGAAAACAAAAAACCTACTGCTTTGTAGGGCCCTATCAGACCAGATCAGCTTTTGTCTTACAGATTTTCTCTCATGTGTTCATGACACATGGAAGACTAACCTTCAGTGCAAAAGGGTCATTATTATCACTGCCAGTGCACAAGTCCTCATAATTATTTTTTATTTTGTTTCTGTTCGGTTTTTGTTTGGTTTACTGGGTTTCCTCCATGTATTTTTGATGCAAATAAAATTTAAGGAATAATTCTATGGGGATGTTATTAAGTACTTAGCTTTTTTTTTTAATGTCATAAAATCGCAATCCCATGCCTTGTTGCTAAAATGGAAACTATTTTGATGACAATTTAAACATGAAATATCCAGCAGAGACAAATCATGATTATTTATAAAAGGCTCTATCAAGAAATTATTTACTTCTTTGGGCAATTTCCACTTTGCTCATGATTTAAGTCTTAAGAGTACATTTACCTAGCTATTCACACAGAATTAATGGAGCTGTTTCTTACTATGTTTTTGATAGCACAGCATGTCGAATCTGACTCCCGACTTACTTTCCCTAGTTATTTGTAAGCTTTCCTCGCCTCTGTTTTATTTCTTTTGCAGAGCCGTTCTTCATTTCATTAGGGAGGCAACATGGGGAGGGTTAGATGTGGATTGTGAATGTTCTCTAATGCCGAAACCCTTGTCCTGGAGCAAGTGCTAATCACTCAGATTACAAGAATAAGAAGAGTAATTTGTACTTGTTGCCTGGAGAAGCTCTTGTCTAGGGATATCAAGTACTGTCCTTTCCCTCTGATGCAGAACAAAGACATGGGATCTTGATGGGACCTTTATACTTGCTCAAAGCGCCCCTGTTTTCCAAACTGACTTTGTCTCCTCAGTGTGGACTTCAGTGTGCTCTTACTAGCCATCAAATTAAGAGGGAAGCAGTTGACTATCAGATGGGCCATTGGCCGGAAACTATCTCTGTGGTGGTGATGGCAAAGAAAGTTCTGGCACAGCAGTCCAGAGTGAAGGAGAAATTTATGAGAGATGAAGCTCAAAGAGTATTCACTGTTTCTCCAGCACACTTGCATGTCAGGTGAGCATGGTTGATCATCTAATTCCCAAACCAGTAGACTTTTAAAGGGCAAACAGTCACACCACAACACTGAAAGAGATCAGCCTCAAGGCAGGCTATGTCACTTTCAGCCACCAGTTCAAATGAGCCTGTCTTGAAATGAACAGTGGTAAAGAGAATGTGTTTCCCAACACACCACACGTGAAGAGCCGACACCTTCATGACGCACCGCAAGCTGTTCATACTGTATGAAGTCCCAATGGGCAAATAAACCTGTCACATATAAATTTCATTCCCAAGAAAGCTTTATTACCGAACTTAGGATAAAAAGGTAGGGGAAAAAAAGATAGAAACTGACATTTTTCTGATTATGTTCTATCTAAATGTCAGGCACTTTCTCCATCACCCTTTTAAATCCCTAAAAAATTGTAAGAGGAACTTTTCCTCCATTTTACAGAAAAAAAGAATTTAAGTTTCATAAAAGTAAACTAAATAGGCCAAAGTCACACAGCTAATAAAACATCATGTCAGGGTCCAAACCCAAGACTCTCTTGTTTGAAAGCCCATCTTCCCTCCAAGGAACCACACTGCCTAAGTTTAATCTGTTGTATTTAATTAAATATATTAGATGTATATTCTAAAAAAGAGAAGAGGGTGGTAAAGACATGAAGCTAGAAATCTCCCAGTTTTTCACGTTACTGATAAGAGCAGTGTTCCAGATTACTGAGGATAGGGAATAAAAGAAACATCATTTATATTTGGTGTGTTAGGACACAGTACACAATCGTATCTTTACAACAGCAGAAGGAGGACACTTACCTACCTTAATATGTTTAGTATGTTCTGGTTGTACTAATACTGAAATTAGACTATGTGCGTTGAGCACGTAGCAATTGATGAAAAGGTACCCAAGAACTTTCCTAGAGAACCAATCTGGGAACAAAGCTTCACCATAAATTCCTAGAGCAGGAAGAAAAATGCCCTGTGCTGGGGCCGGGGGGGAACAATGCAAAATAATTCAGAGATAAAACTTTCACCTGTACAGCCTGTCAAATAATATACTCTGAACATGCACACAACTAAATTCCCCAGGGAGTGCAGGAAATCCTGTGTGTGTGTGTGTGTGTGTGTGTCCCATTTGTCCACTGAAGAAGACTTACCTATGTTACACCCAAGGATGTGACCCATTTCCAGAAGATGCAGTTGATGTTAAATCTCAGAAGGTAGGCAACAAGAGATTGGAGCAGAGTTTGATAATATTCACCGATATCATTAGAGCCTAGGGAATAAAAAAAAAAAAAAGATTGTGCACTTCACCAATTTTAGGCTGTGGGAAAAAATCCCTACACCACTATGGGCAGGGCAGTTCACAACCTCTGTAAGGAAATCTTGTGGCCTCTAAGGATAACCCTGGTATCAGGAACGACAGTGGTGACCATCAAACACATCTGTTCTCTCTACCTAAACAAATCACCATATAGGAAGTTCCCAATAAATAGCCAGGTTTGTTTTAAATATTTGGTTTGAAGTCAATTGTTTGAAATTTCTAACACTTTTTCCTACAGAGAAAAATGATGAAAATACTTCCAATAAAAGTCTGTAAAAGAATACTGAGAAAAAGTCAACACACCAAGCTTTGTAAAGAATCTTTTAACCTCGGTTTTCTCATCTGTAAAATGGGGATAAAAATACCCTCAATGTCCACTTCAGAGAAGTATTGAAAGGAAAATTTAGGAACTGTGTCATAGAGCAGCTACAAGGCATTTTAACATGAACTTATAACAATGTTAAACTATAGGATGAAATTAGCCTCAAAGAATACTCCAGTGATGCTGGTAATAGGAAAGAAAAAACTAAAGAATAAGAAATTGTAATGAGGGGAAATATCGGGGAGTATTCTGAATGCTGGAAGTAGAGGAAAAAGCAAAGGAGGAAGATGAAATATTCTTTTGTTTTTACTCCTTGCTGCCATCACCTTGCTTAACACTTTAAACTTACTTATTGTCTTTATCATGTGTTGTCTGTCTCCTCTGCTAGACTGAACACTCCCTGAGTGCGGGGATGTTAGGTACTTCACTCACTGATGCACCCCAAGCACGTAGCACAGTTCCTGGCATGTCATAATGACTCAGTAAATATTCTCTGACAAGTGAATGTATCATGTGATAATGATGCAAGGTGCCCAGTGTACCATTCAAGAAAGACCGATGGAACAAATTTCTTTGGGCCATTTCCTTAACAAACATTCCGAGGGAAACCGGGCGACTGCATTCCTTCAGTCAGGGCTTTGTGATCACGAGGAATTTGGGATTGCTCTGGGCTTGGGCAGATCTTCAGGAGCTGGGTTTTGCTTTCTGAATGGTGGCCACATCATGTTTCATTGTGAATCTTTGCAGGGTGAGCACTTCAGTCACCCCTTTTTCACCCCATCTGCTCCTCCTCCCCCTTGGGGAGGGCAAGCTAACTGTGCTGATAACAACCTCCTCTTTGCTCCTTAATTAGAGGAACACCCAACGCCCCCACAGGTCTTCCTCTTTCTTCCCCTGGGCCTGTTGATGCATTTTTCTCAGCAGGCTCCCACCCATTTTCCTAGAACTGCTGCCTTTTATCAACAGCCACTGAACTGGGGGGTAGGGAGCTGGTTGCTGGGTGCAGCCCTCCTGACAGCTCAATGAAGGGAGGGAGCTGCTGCCCACCTCTCTTTTAAGGGTGGGAAGAGAAGCTCAGGGTTTGCCATGCAGGAGGAACCAATCTCTCTGGGATCCAGCTCCCCAGCCCTGCTGAAGAAATTTGTGTTCCAAAGCCCTGCTCCTAACCAACGTTTCTGATTTAACTCATAGGATTTTAAGCTATAAGAGACCTTAGAAAACAAATTCAGCCCCCTCATTTTAGAAATGAAGAAACTGAAGCCCAGAGAGGGAAACCTGACTTGCCAAAGGGGGAGGCAGGGAGGCCTTTCCCACCTCAACCACAGCTTCCCTGCAGTGCAGGAGTGTCTGGGGAAAGTCAGACACACTTACTTCCTAAGAGTAAACACTAGCAGATTCACAGTGAAAGCACCAGCAAAAGGTTGCATGCATTTATAGAAATGAATCAGATTTTCATAATTTTTGAAATGCTTGTATCCAGATAAATCCAGTAGTAGATACTTGATTTATTTTTTAAAGGACTCTTTTTTTCAACAGGCTTTCCCAGCAGTTTGCTTTAAATAACCTGTTCTCCCTAATGTACGTGAAATGTGGTTTTCATTTCCACACTTTGCTGCTATAAGCTCAGTGCACAATATAGTTGTGTAAGATGTAACTGAACTCAAAGCTTCTTGATGTAATCATTATAACGAATGAATGTCTACTTCAAGAGATGTGACTAAGTTTTCTAAAATTCCCATAATGGGTTAATAAAGTTAGGCTCTGAGTGGGGAGGTTGTTGGGGGGAGGAAGTATAGCTGAAATAAAGCAAGGAGATAAACAACTCCAAAGAAACATTTTTGCAAAAATAGGTTTTACAAGTTGGTGTTGTTGACGGAATAGGAGTTGCTTATAAAGTCTGAATTGGCAGATTCAAGAAACCGAGAAAAAAAAATTCAGAATGTTCAGACAATAATATTCTAGAGCTGAAAGGCCATGAAGATGTGTTATCTAGCCCAACTATTTCAAAATGTGCTTAAGAAATCAAGAGCCCAGAACAGGGACTATCTTGCCCAAGGTCAGTGATGTCTGCTGCTTCCTAGTCAGATTCTCATTTTACCAGTTTTCACACACTGGGTGTAAAAAAAAGAAAGGAATAATAGGGTCAGACCAGAGAGGAGCATGGAATCTTCAGGAAGTATCATGAGTCCCACTCAACCAGTAGAGAAGCTCTCTCAAAATGTTTCTGTCAACTCTAGACAGTTCTGGCAAAAGAGTAAATGGATCTTTTAGGATCACGGGGCACAAAGTATAAGCAGAGTCTGGGTGAGCAAGCAGGCCTCACTGGAGGCAAATTGATTTCCAGGGATTGAGACCAGCCGGTGCCTGGACAGGGAGAGACTGCCCACGGGACTGAGTGGGAGGTTTGCCAAATCCCCTACCAGAGTCCTGAAGTACGTTCCTGACAGCCTTGCCTCTAAGTCAGGGTTCTAAACACGGAGACTTTGGTCAGTGAAGATATTTTTGTTTTCACAACTGGGGAGGGGTGGGGGTTCTTTTGGCGTCTAGTGCATAGAGGCCAGGGGTGCTGTGAAACGTCTCTCCATCCTACAAAAAAGTATCGGGCCTCAAAGGTCAGTAGTACCAAGGCCCAGAAGGCTTACTCTCCTGGTACCTGTCAACGAGTGTTCTGCTCAGGTTCAGTGTTACTTCACCACATGCTCCCTTCTAAACCCAAGAAATCAAGTAACAGTTCTAAGGACTCATCCCTCTCTCTCTTCAGATCTTTAGATTTTTACAGCCCCTTTCCACCCGCCCCCCCCCACAAAAAAACAGATGAGGAGGCAGAAGAACAGGAAGCAACAATTTAAATAAAAATACTTAGTGCTGAAAGTATATGCGTAGGAGAGACTATTTTCCATGTACTTATATTTTTCTTGCTCTTTGTTGTCGTTCCACCATCCTTGGTAAATTTGTTTTCATTTTAAGTGTTACAAGCAGTTATTATGTATTCCAGGCAGGGCTCCCAAGCTGTGACAATTTAAATGAGGGAGACTTTTTTTATAGGGAAAAAATGATAAAAGTATAAATGGTTTGTTGAAACACTGAAGAAAAGCTTACCTCAGAGAAAGAAATGCTTTTTTATGTCATCTTAATATTAATCCAAAATGAAAATGTCCTTCATTTCAAAAGGGTAAGATTTGGCAGGTATAAGATATAAGGGGGCAAGGATATGTCCCCTCCACATTTAGAATTGCGTGACTCCTGAAAAGACTTTGAAATAAATAGTGTATAAGAAGCTACAAGTAATTTTTAAAATGGCTTAAATCTTTTATATGTTCAACTCAAAGGAATAGAAAAGCTCACAATGGCAGCATAGAAAGGACTTTGGATAAAGGACCTGAAAACTTGGGTTCTGGTCCAGGGTTATTACCGTGGCCCACAACCTTGGGTAAATAGTGTACTCCTGTATATTAATTTACTCTATAATTAAATAATAATAATAATAATAATACTTGCCTTAGAGAACTCATAAGGTTGTTATGAGGCTCAAAAGATATGTAAATGCAAATGTCAGCATGTAGCCTCCCCACTATTTTCCACACAGTGTCATCACTATAACTCTTCTGTGCATGTGTCCAGAAAAGACAAAAACTGTAAATTCAAGAAGACATGCACACCCCAATATTCACAGCAGTACTATTTACAACAGCTAATACATGGAAGCAACCTAAGTGTCCATCAACAGATGAATGGATAAAGAAGATGCAGTGCGTTGTGTATGTATGTATGTATGTGTGTATATATATGGGGGAATACTACTCGGCCATGAAAAAGAATGAAAATGCCATTTGCAGCAGCATAGATGGATCTAGAGATTGTCATATTAAGTGAAGTAGGTCAGACAAGGAAAGACAAATATGCAATATCACATATGTGAAGTCTAGAAAAATAATACAAAGAATTTACTTACAAAATAGAAACAGACTTATGTTTATCAAAGAGGAAAGAAGGGTGATAAATTACGAGTATGGGATTAACAGATACACCCTACTGTATGTAAAATAGATAAGAAACAAGGATTTACTGTATAGCACAGGGAACTATATTCAATATCTTATGATAACCTATAGTGGAAAACAGTATGAAAAAATATATGTATCTATAACTGAATCATTTTGCTTATACCTGAAACTAACACAATACTGTAAATCAACTATACTTCTATATTAAAAAAAAAAGGTGAGGAACAACCACTGCTGGCAAACATTGTCAGTGTCAGATTTAAATCTATAAAAAAGGAGAACTTTTGATTGATTACTTCTTGCACACTTTCCAAATTCCTTTTTATAATTCCAAAAAAAAATGTTTCATGTAAGGCAAGGAATTATTGGAGTAGGGTCACTATAGCCCAAATAAATATATTTACAGAATAAAGTCCTGACAAGTGGGCATGCCCCTAAAACCAAAATATTGAAAAGTTAACTACCGAAGAGAATACTTGCTTTCTTGAAATTTCTGACAAGCTTGTGAATGTGTGAATTAGCAAGGTATGATTCTTACAGTTCTGAAGGGGTCAAGCAGTGGGATGTATTCACTTTGTAAAGTGGCTCTAAATCTCATTGGTTGTGTCACAGCATTA